AAAAAAAAAAAAAAAAAAACAAAAAAAAAAAAAAAAAACTTTTGAACAAATATGCTCATGCAGGATTTGACACACCCGAAGTTGATCAAGTCGGCCTGTCTGCAGTGAATTTTCTACTTTGACTAGAAGACAAACACTTTGTGTGTGTGTCCGGCTTGGCATGCCCAGCCGTGCAGCCTTTGGTAGCCGAGTTTTTTTTGTTTTCTCAATAATATTTCATGAAGTTTGATATTTTATCCGTATTTCATAAACCTTTTGAACAAATATGTCCCTGCAGGGTTTGACACACCCCAAATTGAACAAGTCTGTCTGTGTGCAGTGAATATTTCTACCTCGACTCGCGAAGACAGACACTCTTGGAGGAGGAGGGTATTGCCACGTCATCGCCACGTGATTGGCACGTCATAGCCACGTGATTGCCACGTGGCCATTCATTGCCACTTTCATCGCCCCCTGATTGGCACGTCATCACCCCGGCATTGCCACGTGATTGCAACGCGATTGCCACGTGAGTGCCACGGGGCCATGCCATTCATTGCCACGTGAGTGCCACGGGGCCATGCCATTCATTGCCACGTGATTGCCACGTAAGTGTCCTCCTTAATATAGATATAGATCGGATTAGATGGAGGCGACGGTTTCTCTATGCAGGCCCTCCAACGTGGGAGGAGGAGGAGGAGGAGGGCATTACGGCGTCTTATGCAGGAGTGATCGCTCCGGGTCACAGAAGGGTTGGAATCATAAACTGCCATCAAACCCATCATCGGTGTCATTGCCACGTCATTGCTCACAGCGTATTCTCTTGCAGAAATGCAGGAGTCACTTGAAGCTAGAGTCCACTTTCTGGGGATGTGAGCATATGAGTCTACTTGTTCATGAAAGGGGAGTGAAGAAGGAGACATGGGCTTGTTCCTCCTCCTCCTCCTCCTCCTCCTCCTCCTTGCAATCGACCATTTCATCGTCATCACCGTCATCGTCATCATCATCATCATCATCATCATCAACATCATCATCAACGTCATCAACATCAACGTCATCATTATTTTCTTCTCTTGGGGTAAGGACGATGAAAGGGCTAAGAAACAGAACGGTGATGGCAGTAAACGGAAGGATGACGACGGGGAGAAGAAGAAACGGAAGAGTGATGGCGGCCGCAGCAGCTGTGTCCACTGGGCTGACTACTGTGAGGTGCGGAAGAAAGAGAAAATTGCGAGAAGGTTTTGGAAACACGGAGGAATGCTTGCAGGGACAGTTTTTCTTGTTGATGTCCCTCACTTGCAGAGAGGGCACCCGTAAGCATCTTCATCCTTCGAGGGGTGATCTGCAGGTTAGTAAGTGTTCTTCATTTTTGCGCGTGCCCCCCCCCCCCCCCTCTCCCCTCCCCCTCTCTCTACTCTAACGCTAGTTCTGCAGCTAACTCGTACGTCTACATGTATACACTTCCCTGCCTTTCCCTGCTCTTCCCTTCCCTTCCCTTCCCTGCTCTTCCCTTCCCTTCCCTTCCCTGCTCTTCCCTTCCCTTCCCTGTGCTACCTACCACTACTCCTAAGACTATATAGAGGGGGGCCCTGCAAGAACTAGTGGGGGTCCGGCTACCTCACAATGAGGGATGGCATGTTGGCCCCCGCCCTAACAGCCGTAGTCAGAGATGGGGTGGGGCCGCCAGTGGGGGTCCCGGCTCACGCAAAGACCGAGTGTTTTGCCAGTTGCGCCTGGGGATGGTTACTCCTATTTTTGCTCATCTTGTAAAATAGGGGCCTGTCCCTCCAGGGAGGGTTTAGCTGGTGAGCCTTAGCCTCTGGCTCTCTACTGACTTCGGTGTTTCTGATCTCTTATTGAACATGGGACGCCCATGCCCGGATCCATGAACTGCTGCTGCTGTTGTCTCCCAACAGGTATTGCTCCCCAGCAATAGATTGGAGCTCTGTTTCTCTTCTTATTTTTCAGGGGAAATTGCATCTGTATGGTGTACCCCTGTCTCTTATACACATCTAGATGTGTATAAGAGACAGCTTATTGAACATGGGACGCCCATGCCCGGATCCATGAACTGCTGCTGCTGTTGTCTCCCAACAGGTATTGCTCCCCAGCAATAGATTGGAGCTCTGTTTCTCTTCTTATTTTTCAGGGGAAATTGCATCTGTATGGTGTACCCACTTAAAGATAAAGATGGGAATATCCGCTATAGCCAGTCCCAGCGCCCAACTTGCATTTATACCCAGACCCTGTCCAACTTAAGGTAATACCCTACTTTTCTTGTGCGCCAACTTATACATATACATTTACGGTCCCAGTCACATGGGCCCTTGGTCGGGGAGCACAAAATTATGCGTAGCCCCAGGATCTGGGCAGGCAAAATTGGATATGCTCATAATTTGCCCATCTGTGTGCATGATTTGAGCATTCCCGTAGTTGGGTATAACTGCAAATTGGCAGTACCAATCGTGTTCCACCGCAGTCCTGGGCGTGCAAATAATTTGCACAGACCATTTCCTGGGTACAGATGCAAGTTGGGCACTGGGACTGGGTATAGCGCGTATTCCCTTTTTTTTTTTTTTTTTTTTTAAGACTGTGCAGGAAGTACCAGTTGAGGTGATATGAGCACCCCCCAACTAGTATTCATCGTGTAACTCATGAGGCACTCCCTACCCTTCTTCCTTCTCTCCCTCCTTTTCCGTCCTGTCGACATCCTGGCAGCCTCGCTCTCTACACTCACGAAAGTTGGTGTGGTCACAAAGACCGCCTGACTAGGTGTATGTCTGTGCATTGATGGTGGATTGAACAGTCCTGAATGGGCTGCCACCGATTGTGCGGGGTTGACGTGTTGCTGGGATGGACTGCGGGGCATGGCCGAACCTGGCTTGCTGGTTGGGCCAAGCGGGGTGACGATTGCAGGAACATCGGGATTTTGGTAAAGTGTGATCCGAGAAGTTGTCGTGGACTGAGAGATAAGGGCAAGGGGTTTCTGGCTTATTCAGTGTCTTGTCGACATGTGATTCCCTCGTTTTGTTTATTCCTTTGCTCGGTCTGTCCATCTAATCCTCTCCCCTTTTCGCTTCTCTTCTTCCTCTCCTTCTTCCTCTCCTTCTTCCTCTCCTTCCTCTGGAGTTTTATCACGCATAATCTTGAATTCAAAAGCTATTGTGTAGGTTGTGATTGGTGAACGCAGTATAGTTGTATGATGCATGCTTGTGGATGATGTTCCGTAAGCTGGTGGCATTTATACGCGACAACGACACAGGCAAGTATAATGGTTGTTGGCGTGGATGATGATCTCCCCCTCCCTCCCCTTTTTCAGGATTAGGAAAAAATTTGCCTTTTCTATATCACGAGCAAAGGCAGAGGGTCTCCAAGTGGGATGTAAGAGAAGGTATGGCCCGGATATACCGGCCATATCTCCTCCCCAACGAAACTTATTGCTCTTGCTTCGTAGGTTCAGGATTTGTGATAGTGGATTCCCCCCCATACTCTGTGTTTTTGCCTTATTGGGAGCTAACCATAATCCCTTGGCCCGTCATCACCCCTTTTTGGCCCCAGACGTGTTCTGGGCGCAGGCGCAAGGAACACTACCTGCACCAAGGCTTCACTTGTGTGACATGCGGCGACAGTGACAGGGAGCGAGGTGTGGCAGAGATGCATGATCCCATGTGTACCCTGGAGCCCTTTGGTTGTGGGGAAAGGCAATGCCGAGCCCAAAGACGATCGTGGATAGGGATTTTCTTTCCCTGTTTTTTATTAATACCCTTTGTTGGGTTGGCATGATTGCACATGGATCCCTCATTTTCGCCACTTCGAGTGTGTCCCATCCTTAATTGCTCTGCTGAACTTGACCCATGGAGATCCAAGTTTCAACCTGGGACTCCACCCCCACGTTCATGCGCTTTCTGGGCCTACCCTTACTCCGATCAGAAAGTCACGCCGGGTGTGAGGTTGTCTGGCACACACTTGTAATTGCGCACAGTCTAAACTTCTGAACATCTTGCGCATTTTTTTCTTTTTCTTTTTCCTGTGTCAATTACTACAGTCTGATGTTGACGTGCTCCTGACCTGGTGTTCATCTTCGTTGATCTGTTGTTGACCTTTGAGGTGTCGAGCTGGTATGGACCTTGAGTTGAACTGCTCTTAACATGGCGTTGACCTCTAGGCTACCAGAGTGGCCCGGGACAATTTGCCCAGCCGGGCCAAAAAAAAAAAATAATAATAATAATAATAATAATAAATCATTATAATTTATAAATGTTTTTCATTTTTTTTTTTTTTTTTTTGATAAAGAATTTCCACGTGACCCTGAGGCAAAAGTTGTTCAGTTTAGTTTTATGCATAACTGCCATAACGTAATTTTTTTTCAGAAATTTTGGATGTTTCTCTTTTTTTTTGGCTGGGACCTCCTATGGTCCTTGCACGGCCGGGCATCCGGGGCAAACAAGGTGAGCCGGGCGGCCCGGCTGGTAGCCTAGGTTGACCTGTCATTTACCTGCTGTTGATCTGGTATTGCGACCTTCCATTGATGTGATTTGCCCTGGTGTTGACCTGCTGTTGACCTGCTGTTGACCTGCTGTTGACCTGCTGTTGACCTTTTCGGCTGTGGGGAATCTGTATATTGTCGAACGACGGCCAGGTTTGTGCCGCAAGTCGTGCAAAGCGAACAGGTGTTCAGAGATCAAAGGCAAGGCGGAAGCATCTGTTCGGCGCAGGCAGTGAGGACAGCAAGGCAAAGGAAGAGGAAAAGCCACAACTTACAAATTTGCAGAGGAAGATAAAGAAAAAGATGAGGCTCGAGGGGTTAGACCCCCGGAGGGCATTGAAGCTCATAACAAGCGTGAGTGAAATGCGACCACAGCTTGTGTTACCTCGGCTTCCTGTAACACGTGATGCATCTGGCAAAAGGTTTAGGAGAGAGGGTGATGTCCAGGCTGAGCACATGCTATCACCATCTGTGCTGGCCTGGCCTGTCATTGTCTGTGGATAAGGGCTCATACGTAACCAATGGGCTTGGGGATAACAGGCTTGTATTTGGATAAGGTAAAGAACGGGTTGTGGATAACAGACTTGTGTTTGGATAAGGTAAAGAACGGGTTGTGGATAAAAGCTTTGGATAAGCGGTTGTGGATAAGGAGTTGTGGATAAAGGGTTGTGGATAAAGAGGGGTCGTGGATAAGTTATAAGGGGGCTTTGTGGCTAAGGGGTGGTGGTGAAGGGGTTGTTGCTCAAAATAGCAGAGCAGAGCACAGAACTGCACAACCACATAAGCTGAAGAACAGCAAATCACATCATGGCAATGAGAAGCCTAGCATGGGAAAAATGACAAGGAAAGAAGATTGAAGCAGAGAGAAGGAGAGAGTAGTGAAGTAAAGGAGAGAACGGGGGTGAAAAACAAATCAGCCACTCGAGGAAGCCATCCTAACCAAAGTAACTGCTATCTTTTCCAGTTTCGGGTAACTTTGGTGGCTTTGCTTTTTTTTTTTTTTTTTTTTTTTTCCGTGAACCAAACAAGATGAACCGAACTGCCATCTTCCCCAATCACAATGCCCAGTCATCATGAATGCATATGAGCCAGTGCTGCAAACCCGGTAGAACCGGGGGCCCCTCCCCCAACCGGAACCAGAAGGGGTCCTACCGGCCGGTCGACGGGGCCGGTTCACCCCCAGTTGGCTGTAGCGCATCAATTAAGCCCAGGGTGTTGTAGAGGCCAAGGACTAGACCCACTGTGATCGCTGGCAGTGGCAACCGGTGGTTGTCTCGACAGGATAGGCCACCTTCCCTACCCTTCCCCACGATGCTCCAAGCGCACCCCCTATCCCTACTATCCTACCTCAGTGTGACCAGCACTCAGGACCATCACCCTACCAGTATGGAGGGCAACTTGGACCAGACGGCAGTGACAAGCAACCCCTAACACTATCACCCCCACCCCCCTTTTCAAAGTTTTTGGGTGGGGAAGTGCTGTCCCTACCCCCTTTTTTCAAAGTTTTTGGGCGGAAGGTTTATGTTTGCAGAAAGCCAGGTACGTTGTTGTCAATATCTGCTGAAGCCCGTGCTTGCTCAAACCCCACCACTAACACCCTCACCATAACCCCGGCAACCCCCGACCCCCAACCCCTGAAATACCCCCCCCCCCCCCCCCCCCCCCCCAAACGAAACTTCTCTGTTCAAAGTTTTCTTTGCAGATTCAGGGAGATCTCGGCAAGCGCAGTCCAACCATGTTTTCAATAAAAATAAAATAAAATAAATTGACGGTATTGACCCACTTTTGGGCCCAACCGGAATTCTGGTTGGACCACCGGGGGTCCAACCGGGCAGGTTCAATCCAGCCTGGTCCAACCGACCCGTTGCCGTCACAGCCCTGATATGAGCTGCTTTCCTGGCTATAGATGCATTCACAATGACCAGGTTTTGTGTTCAGGCGGGAAGACGGTAGCAAACACTCTAGAAGAAAGTAAAACTGGAAAACAGAAAACAAACAAACACAAGCAAACAAGGCAGCAACAACCATGCACCATGCTGATGACAAACAAAAAACACCTACCTCTCCCGCCTACCCACCTACCTACTACCTGCTCACCTACCTGCGTACGTGCCTACCTGGCTACCTGCCCGATGGTGTGGATCCGTGGAAGGGTACATAATACATATCTACGAACAGTCAGTTCCGCAGGTCAAGAGATCAAATCCTCTTTTTTTTTTTTTTTTTTTTTTTTTAAGAAGCACTGGCAGTGTTCCGATAGGAGTGATATGAGCACCGATCAAATCCTGTCAGTCCGAGGTAAAAGAAAACGTTACGCAGGGTAAGTTTTCACTACTCTTTTTGTTGTGATGTTTTCCGGACTGGCGCATGCGCTATGCAGATCCGTAACGTGGTGACAAATCGGCTAGAAGACGTGTATGAAACTCTCGACAGGTGGGCGGCTTGGGACATTGACTTCCCTCTGTCCCACACTAAGAAAGCTATTACCATCCTGAGGAGTGAAGAGGACTGGGAAAGGGTACTTCAAGTCTCGGAATGGATGGTTGCTAAGGGTTATGGGAAAACACTGAACACGTACCTGCTGATGCTTATGGCGTACGACAAGCTGAGCAGAGTGGAGGATGCAGAGAAGTTGTTCGAAACTATTCGGGAAGAGAATCCGAAGAACGTGAGCCGTATGATCTGGTGCACGATGCTCAGCATCTTCTTGCGCAGGGGACGATACGACAAAATGGAGAAGTTATGGGAGTTGATGATGACACGGTCGGTTGCAGGCAAGCTTCCAGCGTACGCAGTTGGAGGACCTCTCGCTCATCTCCAAGAGACCAAAAATGTCAAGTTCTGGGTCCGCGGAAGCGTATTTTGCAAACCCGATGAAGTGGTCCTTAATTTGGTTGTGGAGGGGTTTGTCAGAGCAGGTGATCTGAAAAAGGCAGAGCGTGTTCTCGATATCTGGGGTCAAGAGGGTTTTGAGATCCGAAGGGGGAGGAGAATCCTGAAGGAGGCGAAAGATCGACGGCTTGAGCGCTATGAAGTCAAACAACTCAGGAAACAGGGGGGCAACAAGGATGCTGATTCAGAGGGTGCAGATGGGGCGGCAGACCAAGGAGATGTGTCTCCTGCTGGGGTTGACGAGAAGATAGAAGCAAGAAAACGCGCCTTGGAATTGGTGAAAATGGTACGTAACGCACACCTGTTGCCTCGTTGTCCTCCTCTCTTGTCTACTTCATGTTCTGTGTTGATTTTTAGGGTCATCCCCGAGGCCAGATACCATTACTTACCATTCCCCGTTTCCCTTTTTGTGTGTTTTTTTTGAGTTATTGTACTCATCTCATTCTGTCAACATTTGGCCTCATGATCTGCTTCCTAATTTAGGGCCTTATTTTGGGCCTAATTCAGGGCCTGATTTTGCACCTAAATGTGGGCCAAACTCTTGGGGGGCTCCTGTTGGGGACCTAATTTTAACAATACCTCATTTTGAGCCTAGTTTTTAGGGTCTGATTTTGCACCTAAAGGTGAGAGTATCTCTTGACCTGCTGATGGGGATGCAGTTTTCAACTTTTCACGATGCCGCATTTTGGGCCTAAATTAGGGCTTGATTTTGCACCTACATGAGTGACAAACTTTCGGCCTGCCGTGGGGAGGCCCAATCTTAACAATATACTGCGCATGGTCTTTACTCGTACAGTTGGACGGAAGTCTATCAGTTATGTGAGACATCTTTGCATTGTTAGGGGGTAAGGAGTGGGGGGTTGGTGATGATTCAACGTTTTTTTTTTAAACAAACCCAGCCCCTTCTATTCGGGGGGGCATCAGTCCGGTTGCTCATCACCGGCAAGCCTGGAAAACAAAATACAGTTTGGTTTAAAAGAGAAGAGGAAAGCCTTGTCCTTGCAGCCCTAGACGCCTCTCAAGGGGGGGATTGCCACAACCAAAACCCACTTTCCATACCATAGCCTTCCCAGGGACACCTCTGTTGGTCGGGAAGCTTCCTAGCAGCACCCAGCCACACAACAGACGGGTCCCCAGGGGGGGGCTGGCTCGGGGGGGCTGTTCTAGCTATCTCACGGGTCTCTCATCGTGTTAAACCCTTCCTCAGTTTCCCCATTAAAATCCTCTGGGCACCATCTAATATTTACAGTTCTCGCCCTCATACCACCCTCCAGTCTCTACTACGCACTCCTTTATACAGCCTACCCCGAGTATCTCTTATATTCTCAAGTATCATCTACATCTGAGCCCTATCAACTTTATGTTTTATATCTACCCTGCTGATATGTTTACAACCTCACCCTTGCCTTATTTGCCTTATTTGCCCGCCCTCTTCTGAGGGCAGTAGGTTTCTCTTGTCTCATCATGGAGAGACCTTGCTGAGCACCTATGGCCAAAATAGGCCCCTTATTCTAAGTTATTCTAAGTTATACAAAAAACGTTCGCAAATGCCTGAAACCAGGTAGGCCATCCATATTCTAGTCTAGTTAAATCTAATTGAATCTTGTCCCCAGCAGTATATTCAACAGTGTATTCAGCACTCAAATATATCCCATGTCCCTTCCTCTGTCATCCCCCTTTTTTCATTTTTCAATTTTGATTTGCCCTCCCATTCCCCCACTACCCCCTACCGTCTACCCTCCTCTCTCTACTCCCGATTCCTCCCATTCCTTTGTATCCTATCTACCCAATCCCCAATCTATTCTATCGGCTGACCGCTGCTTGTGTCCTCCTTCTCCAATCTGGGCACGTAGTGTTGCAGGGCTGGTCCAAACTGCAACTGTCCTGTAGTAGAGTCTTGCACCAGCATTTGCGGGAACGGAGCCCATCTCTGCCARAAGYCTGCYGCCTTGGCCTCCCCTRCGCGTCTACTTCGGTGCARATCCGCCAGTATAGCRATGCGRATATTCTCCARTGCCCTCTCCTGATAGGCCCGAAGTGGCGGGGRCGTTCCTTGCCTACATCGTTCATWTCTCAATGTCCACAGAGCCCATAACACTGCTGCCCTTACGATCTCTTCCACCACCATTTCAGCCATGGCCCGCCTACTTGCCTTGCCCAGGGTACCCAGCAAAATATCTGTGTCGGTCGTTTCATCCACCTGTAGCGGTGTCTTGTCTGCCATTTCCTGCGCCCACCACTCCCAAAACTCCTGCACCCTTGGACATCGAACAAAAAGGTGGGGGATCGTTTCCACCTGGCCGCAAGCTGCTGCACAAGTTTGGTCCTTATGACAACTCTTGGTAGCCTGCCACTGCGCAGTCGGGATTGCCAAATGGTAAATCTGCCATAGCAGGTCCGCCTGCTTTTGGTCTGGCAAGGCAGCCATGATGTTGCATTGTTCGTTCCACTTTCGTTGAGTCCAATTAGCAAGGCACGCGTCTGGAAGCCACTCCCGTTTAACCCATCTCTCCTTCAGTTCCCCACAGATGTTCACCGGTTCCAACAGCGAGTTGTAAACAATCTTCGTGGTTACCTCTTGGAGTGGCATCGATCTCCTGTGCATCCTCTGAGGAGGCCATTCCCAGTCTCCCGGGTTCCAGACAAGGTCTCTCAGCCGGGTTGCAGTGCAAAAGGGTAGGTAGTGTCCAGCCTCTTTCTTCCCTCCTTCGCATACCGCAACCGTTTCCACCAAAGCTTGTGCTATTTTCCTCACGGAGTGCAAGTCGTGCAGTGGTTTCCCCAGCCCCTCCCATCCCCGTCCCGGCCTATCCTGCCATACAGTGACCTCCAGGTCCCCATTCGGCATTACCTGCTTGACTCTATAGAGCCTTTCAGGTGCCTCACTCCCCTTAAGCTTGACCCACTGGCCCACTGCYATCTCATCTTTTYTTAGTACTTCCACCCAYTGAGYCGGAATAGCCTCTCTCATGTCCTTGACCCTTTGGCCCCTCTYCATGCRCCCCMGCAGKRCAAGATCCRTTTCCTCATCTGTACGCCAATCCTTCCGGTCCTCATCCCACAAATGTCCCACCTTGAAAATGCCCTGCTCCGCCCATTTCCATCCATAGGCCCCTCGCGCCCCCTGCCATGGGTAGGGGTCGCCTGCCTCGTCGCAAATAAACCGGTTATCAAAGAGCAGCTGGTTAAAAATAGCATCCACTGTTTCGGGGAGCCGACATCTCACCTGAATCTTCTTCCACAGGGCCAGTTTCTGAGTCCACACAGTCCCCCTACCAATATGACCCATCGCGGAGCTGCTGAGCAGGCAGAGGTCTACCAGTTCCCTAGGGACCTGGAGAGCATAAGCAAGATGAGACAGCGTCACCTCTTGCCAAGTTGCCCCCTCCGAGCGCAGCAGGGCCCAGATGAGCTGTCGCAATTGAAGTGCAATTATCTGTAAGCGCTGATCCAGAAGGCCCAGCCCTCCAAACCTTCTTGGTTGGATAAGCTTACACCAGGCAACTCTGCATATGGAATTCTCTGACCTTGCGTTGTTTGACCACAAATGCGCTTGGACCGCCCTCCTAATATATTGGAAGGTACGCCTCCCTGGCATATGAATTGCACCCGCGTACCACAGGGTGGCCAGCACCGAGTTCTTAATCACTATAGCCTTTCCAAAAGGCCCCATGCTCCCTCTCGCACTCCATGCTTGCAGTCTTGCCACCGCCGCTGTGGCCCGTATCGCCATCTGCTCAATTCCTCCATAGCTCGGTGTTAAGTTGGCCCCCAAAAATGCCATTCGCTCTCCTTCGGCCACTGTGGGAATGTCCCACCCTTCTGGAAGGTCCGTCCCCAGAGGCAGAATGGCCCTAGACTTCTGCCAATTCACCCGTGCGCCTGAGTACCTACAGAAGGTTGTCAGGTCCTCTTTGAGAATACCCAGCTGCTGAGCCGTTGGAACAAGTGCTGCACCCGTGTCGTCCGCAAAAGCTGTGGATTGCAGTTCCGCTCTTGGTCCCGCCTTGAGGCTGATAAGGCGGCTGTCGGCCCACAATATCTCGTGCATTGACTCAATGTAGATGACATAGAGGGCAGGAGAGAGCGAGCAACCCTGCCTCACCGACCGAGTCACCCGCAGCCTGTCCGATCTCACCCTGTTAACTTGCATCACAGTCGAGGCTCCCTTTAGGAGGCCACAAATCCAACTGCACAGGATAGGCCCAACTCCCCTTCGCGCCATACTTTGCAGTAAAAATTCCCATCTGACCCGGTCGTAGGCCTTCTCAAGATCTATTGACACAAAGGCCAGTGCCTGACCTGTGCAGTGCTCCTCCTCCAGTATCTGTTGTGCTAATAAAATATTCGACAAGATCTGACGACCCGCCACAAACCCGGTCTGAGTAAAGTCGATGATACTTGGTAGGACTTCCTTCAACCGGTTTGCCAAAACTTTGGCAAGTATTTTATATAGCGCATTCAGGATCGAGATCGGGCGCCAGTTCCGCACGTCCTCCTTGGCTCCTTTTTGAAGAGTAAAACCACATACGCATCCGCAAAGCCTTGAGGAAGGGTGCCTCCCTTCACAGCCTCATTGTAGGCTGCTGTCAGCAGAACTCCGAAGAAATCACGGAGTTCCTTATAGAGTTCCACCGACATTCCATCCAAGCCAGGCGTTTTGAGCCTAGGGAGCTCTGCAATCGCTCTTACCACTTCCTCTTCCGTGATGTCCTCTTCCAACTTGCAAGTTTCCGCAAGATTGAGACGGCTCTGGACATGGCTCCAAATATCCTGCTCTGGTTCGCTGGCCATCTCCTCAGGAGTCCATTGCTCCTCCTCCGTGAGCAGTTGGCGATAGAAATCGGTAACACACTTCAAAATTCCCCGAGTAGTACGCTGTTGCCCCATCTGGCCGTCAAAGGGGTGATCCATGGCTGTCATTATTGGTGCTGCCTTTTTCGTTGCCACTGTAGCAAAGAACTGTCGTGACATTCGTTCCCCCAATGTGATCCATGTCTCCTTGGTGCGTCTACCCCATTTAACAGCTTCCTCTGCCTGCCACTCCCTCCATCCTCGTGCTACTTCCACTCTCTCTGCCCACCATTCTTCCTCCATCTGGCCCTCCTCAGGGCCTTTGTCCAGTTCCTCCATCCTTTGGGCGTACTCCTCCCCTTGTGCGCCAGGTAGTTTCCCCGCAACAGCTTCTGCAAGATGTGCCGCAATCTCTGCACTGCTGTTATGACTTGTGGCAGGAGCTGTTCCTGAGTGCAGTCCTTGGCCCAGTCCTCCCAGAACTTAACAATG